GGAACAGGTGGTTCCAGTAGTCAATTTAAATGTTTGAATCCAATTAGCATCATTGTTCAAAGTGGTGGAACACTCCAAGTTTCAGCAACAAGCAAGACTTTACTTGTTCCTCTAGGCTCCATGATTACTATATATACTGGTGGAAGTTGTACGTCAGGAACAGTTATTCAATCATATACTTCATCAGGTTTAGGAACTCCTATTACAGTACCCACAGCTGGACCATTTACTGGTGCATTTTTATCTGATGGAACTGTTCTTCAGTATAATGAAGTGGCATTTATTGCTATAAACTCCGGTGATATTGGATCAGGATCATGTTATATGGGTGGTTTAGCACCAACAGTTGCAGGCTGCTCTGCTGGTTGTGCTCTTTATATTGCAAAAGGTGTGATATTCTCAACAGCCAGTCTTAACGGTGTAATGAGTATAGATTTTGACACAATCACTGTAGCTGTAGGAGCTACTTTTCAACTTGGCACACCTGGCTCACCTACCGGATTTAAATTTCTCCATGCTGTCGCTCTTCTCATATATGGTACACTGGCACAGGTTACTAGTGGCGGTGGAATCTTTTTACCTGTTGGTAGTGAATTCTATCTTGAACCTGGTAGTTTATTTACTAGTATAGCCGCAACATTTCTTCAAGTCTTTGATCCACTTACTGGTCTCAGTATTGGTGACGTAATAAAATTGGTGACAGGTCAGTCAGGACCCTATTATATTACTATTTCAGCTACTGGTGTTGTATCAACAAGCACAACAGGTATGAAATAAATTTAAGATGTGAGAATAGAATTTAATTTTATATGAAATTAATTTTAGTTCCTGGTGGAAATGATGCATCATCTACTGTCCCGGTACCAACTGTTGCAATGGGTTAAACAAACAAAAATTTTTTTCATGATGACTCTTTTTTGTGTTTACACTTTTTAGTTAGCTAATATTTTCTTATTGAACAAAACTTATTTTATCCTCGCTATATATTTATTGTCCTTTTTTATTCTTCAAATATTTTTCTCTTTTACAATCCTATTTAGAAATAAAAACATTTTATTTTAACTATTTCGATAATATAAGAAAAATGAAAAAAATGTAATGGTTGTTTAGATTTAACTCAATGACATATGTTCACCTGTATACAGGTAAAATAAATTATTGTCTTATCGCATTCCAATCGATTCAAATTTTTTTTTCATGCAACTGTCATC